TAATTGCAGCATGGCTCTACCACGTATATAGATGCGTTAAAACCGGTGTCAACACGGGAGCACACGTTTTCAGCACAATCGGAGGGTCTCCATCAGGCCCACTCGACTTGTTGAAATCCAAGTATATGAGTGCTTTGCGAACCGAGCGCTTTGTAAATTGCACATCTGGCATGGAGCACTCACACCGCGGGATGGTACGTAGTGTGTTCCCCCGTCATCGAGAGTCGAGTTGGACGCAAAGAGAGATCGGCTTTCTCCTTTGCGGCATACCCCAGTGAGTCGTCCTCCCTGTGCAGATGTGGGCGAGATGGCTGACAGAAGTTCCCTTGGACAGCCTTGGCGAGAGCCCAGTATGCACGGATTCTCGAAGGAAGGCGAACTAGTTTCTCGTCAATTTTGACCTGCAGGGGGATTATATTTCTTGTTAAGATTGCTGGTGCTTACATCCAGGGACGATGATGCATCAGCTCAGGCCCGGTAGCTCTTCAGCTTTTAGCGTGATGCTATTTTACAGGAACGACCAAACCATGACATCGATCTGCCTCCGATGGGCACCACAGATTATATAGTAAATATTTCCATACCCAGAAGAACCACAACAACGACATAATCAGCAACAACGTTGGGATCGTCGCGAGGGCAAATCCGCCGCTTGGTTTGCTTCTCGTCGGTCGATCACACCGGACATCTCGCCGGATACCATTTGGCGAGGTGGGCGTTAAAATCGACAAAAATCACAATTTCTATGGATGTGATCTGTTATAGCAAGTAATCTTTAGCCATTTGAACGTGGTTGATGAGTCGGCCTTTGTCGACATTACCTATAGAGACACGTGCGGCTAATCATCGCTATAAGTGGCGGCCCTAGGAAAATTTTTAAGTGGTGCGAGATCCCATAGTGGTGCCACTCTAAATGCAAAACCTTAGTGTTCCTGTACTATGCAGTTGCTTTTTCCGTATTTTAAATAGTATTAGATCTATCAAATATCTACAATATACGAGGCAAGCACAGTTGTGTCTGTCGCTCTTGCCATAGCAGTTGTTCTGCTTATTCTCGTTAAAGAAATGTTATCCATTCCGCTCGCACTATTGGGTTAGCTTATTTCTCATAATAAGAGTTAATAATCTTCTTTGACAACTTTTATTCAAACTGTTGCTCTGCAGACAGTGTTAACTTAATGAAAAGCCTAGATGGCCAGCTTTCTGGCTTATGCGCTTGCAATTTTTTTATTAATTTGGAATAATTTAACTTCTGGACAATAGAATTTTCTATGGAAAAGATTCCAAGATATGACAATCTTTCCTGACACATAGTAGAAACGTAAATAAATGTTTAAATGTTTTAATGTACTAAAACTTCTGTTACGAGCATAGGGTTCGAGACAATAAAAACTGCTGATTGAATTACCAAAATTGACACTTTAATTGCCGAACACCAATTAAAACTTAAAACACACTAATTAATCACACTTAACACTTGAGTTCACTATATTCGCTCCTTAGTCTTTACTTGCATCGCCAATTCAATACTGCCCCGGTCGCGCTCCTTGCCGGACACTTTATACAGGACCTTTTCCACCGAAAACATCTAGAACCCTCCCCACTCGACACTAGATGGCGCTAGTGGGAAAGTTGTAGAAAGATCTTGAGGCTCCTATTTCTGCTACTTGATACTAGATGGCGCTAAATCACCTTACCGCACCATTATTGTACCCTTGACCTCGACAATCATTCATGTCTAAGTCAAACACTTGTACAATTGCATCAAAAAGAGGCCCGTAAGTCCTTTTTCCCAAGAGTCACTTACTGACTTGTAAGCATCAAAATACTTGTGGTTTGACTTCCAAATTAGCTTCAACAAAACAGAATGTTAGTGATAGGAGTGAGTGAATTGGTTATCGGTGCCGGTAGTAGCGTCTCGGTTGATTTCGGCGCCCCACTGATGACGGCGTCCGGTGTGGTGGCACCGCTCGCACCGCCCTAAGGCCACCACTGATCCCCATGTACGCATAGCCAAAGGATGAACAGGTCTGAACGTTCAAGACGGCCGAGGCTGATGACAACTCAAATAATAAGAAATTACGGTGACCAATCCACCTGCTAGGCGTGGCAGCTATGGCAAAATCCCACCTATGAGATAATCAATGGGGAGGCCTATATTTAGGAACCAACTTCTCAAATGCTAAAAGGAATTGATGAATCCGTCGAAAGAAACTTGTAAATACCCCAAATCGATTTATATGTAAGAATATTGTTACGAGCTTGAGGTTCGTGACAATAAAAATTGCCGATAGAATTACCAAAATTAACTCTTTAATTCACTTTACACTAATTAAAACTTAGAACACTAATAATTAATCACACTGATTCACTTTATTTCGCTCCGAAGCTTCGCTTGTCTCGCCAAATTCAATACTTCCCCGATCGCATCTTGCAGCGCCTATAAATACACATTAGCACCGAAACATCCAGAATATTCAAGTAAATACGCGCACCAATCGACAAGGCGCCGAATGTTCGAGTGTCGGCTTCTAGAAACTTAGTTCTTCGTTTCGATACTAGATGGCGCTATTGGTTGAAAGACTAGACATGTCATTTTCGGTAAAGCTCCCCTCGCTCTCGTCCCCGACACTAGATGGCGCTAGTGCCGGGTACATGACGTCAACTTAGGCGCGCAACACTGCCCCCTCCTAAGACACTGTCCTTCCACTCGTTGCTAAGGTGGTCTGTCCTGAGCATCCTCACGGATACCACTTCCTTACTCTCTTGCCTAGTACAATGTTTCCAATCTTCAAGACAAGGTCTTCTTGACAATACATCTGCGTTACAATGAGATTTCCCGCTACGATGTCTGATAGTAAAGTCGTATCTGCTGCTGCTGGGTGGTGATGTTAGCCGCACTTCCCTTCTGAGATCGATCAACTTCCCTTTCTACAGTTCACTTAGGGCAGCTGGATCGAAGATGGCCCCTTTTCCCACAGCCATAGCACCTAGGGCTGTATCCTTTGTTGCGGTCGCGAACTGTAGCTGCTGCAACCTCCCGGACGCGATGGGAACGATAATCCTGTCGCACGGCTTCCACCTCCAGTGCATGGGCCAAGGCGTCCTTAAGCGTTTCGTGGTGCCCCAGCCTCACAGCAGCTCTGACTTCAAGGTCGCGGATGCCGTCGATGAATGTCTGCACCAGGTTCCCTTCAATGAGCGCAGGTACAGACCGGTATGCTTTTCGCACCAGCTTCTCCACCTCTAGAGCCCAATGCTGCAAATTTTCATTGATGCGCTGCAAGCGATCTTTAAGCTGCGCACGAAAGACGTGTTCCAGGTGAGCGTCGCCATATCTCGCCTCCAATGCCTCAAGGAGCTGCTCATAAGTCACTTCCTCACCGAGAGCTTCCAGAACAGTTAAGGCCTGATCGCGCAGGCCTAGCGTGAGAGCAGTCATGGCCTGACTTTTATTCCAGCCGTTCGCCTTCATAACGGCTTCAAACTGGATTTTGTAAGCTGACCAGGAAGAAGTCCCGTCGAACGATGGCACTTTGAACCCACGAAGCGAAGGTGTTGTAGCTACTATGGGAGCTGTAATTTCATCCCCCAGTTTGAGGTCGTCCAGCGTTTTCTTCAGGTCAGCCATCACGTCGTCAACCCGATTGTTCACTTGGTTGATTCTGGTTTCAGCTTTCTCGATTCGGGTTTCAGGTTTCGCGATTTGGGTTTCAGCTTCTGACAGGCGGTTGTCATGCTGAGCAACCCTATCCTTCACCTCCTTGATCTCCTTCCCGAAGGTAGCGTGAAGATCCTTCATGAGGAGCATCTGCTCTTCCAACCGACGGGCCTGTTCCTCTTGTCCGTCCCGCAGCTGCTCTTCCAAACGACGGACCTGTTCCTTTTGTCCGCTCTGCAGCTGCTCTTTCAACTGACGGACCTGTTCCTCCTGTCGGCGAGCCTGTTCCTCCTGTCGGCGAGCCTGTTCCTCCTGTCGGCGAGCCTGTTCTTCCTGTCGGCGAGCCTGCTCCTGCAGCATCACCATCAGAGCACCTAAGTCAGGTACTGCAGATGTAGGAGCTACTGACGGGCCTGCAGCCTTATTACATATACGAATTAGTCTTACCAAACTATCGCTACAAATATGACATCCCTTAGTATTTTTAAAAATATGTGTGCCTTCATTACAATTTATTAAAGAAAAATATTGTTATCTTTAACAGCATTTACAGCAGCCCTTTATGAACCTTAGTTTTTTTTTAATTTACCATCGTATCATGCATTTAATTTATAATCGTAATAGTAAACCTCAGAGTAATATGTATGTAATTACTCTAAGTAGGAAACATTTTTAATGGAGGAAGAGGCAGCATTTATTTTTAGCCACTAGCCGATTCCAATTCCAAAAAAGAAGCATTGCATTTTCAAATTGCAAATGCAATCTTTCTTTTTTGACAAAAACCTTCGCAGGCGTGTGTGGAATAACTCACCAAAGTTTTGTCGTAATCGGATGAATAAATGGTATAGGAATAGAACCGCACAGAAAACGAAGAAACAAATATTCGTTTTTATTTGGATGATTAAAACTTTTTAAGAAATTGCTTTAATGTCGATTATCTGAGCATATCTTATCTATAAACTAAACAAAAATCTATTCATCATCTGTGAAGAAAATTATCTGACGTTTGTAAAACGTCATCTGGACGTTTGTATACAAAAAATGCGCATCACACAATTTGTGAATAAAAAAAAACCCGTACATAAACGTATTTTATATTATAAAATGTTAGTGTTATTATTGGAGTGTTTTTAAATAATAATATACTATCGAATCTTTTTTCACTTAAGGTGTAGCGTGATGTAAATGTATAGTCGTATTTCATTCAGTTTTAACGTTAAAATTTACTTAGTTTACAAAAAGTCTATTGTTGTTTACTTGTTTATTATGTTATCAGCACAGGAATGAATGTCTTCAAAATATTAATTAAATACGTATAATCTTAATACATGTAAAAGGAATGGTATCAACGAGAGGCTTACGGTATAAATTTAGCGAAGGAGAGCGTGTCCTTTGCTATGAACCTGACCCTACTAAGGCCAAAGTGTTATACGATTCGAAGGTAGTAAACATTATTATTTCTCGGTACCCATCTTATAAGTGATCTAAATTAATTTTCTTATAACATATTAATATAATTTTTGTACACCATATTAATTTTCCTAAGATTGTATATGAGTATTTAAGTAGCAACCATGCTTAGCAAAAAGATGTTTTATCACATTATTTTGTGTTACCAGGAATATTATTTGTTTGATATTACCTTGTAATGGAATAAAAATATCTTTAAATAATATATTACATTTGTTTTTGGGTTGGCTATTAACATCCAGTACTTGATTTTAATTATGTTTTCAGTTTAGGCGGCTGGTTAAGCTTGAACCTTTTGGATGTCGGAAATGCGTTTTGAATTAATTACGATAAAAATAAATTGCACTAAAAAATGCATATAACTAAATGCAAATATGTCAATTTAGTCTAGCATTATGATATAGATGTCCTGTACGTAATTTTAATTATGGTTTTAGTTTAGGAGGTTTGTCAGGGTTACGCTTGAACCTTTTACACTGTTTTTGGATTTCAGAAATTAGTTTTGATTTAATTACAATAAAAATAAATTTCACAAACTAAAAATTACATATACCGAAATGGTCACCCACAAAAAAGTTAAATACTCGGATCCAGATAATCCATTTGTAGCTGAAGATGGGACTCATATACAACAAATTGAATTGTAGTGTAGAGCAGTCAAAAGGTTTCCCAGAAAACAAAATTATACCAATTCACATTACCTGACTATACACAACATAAGTTGAATCTGTACTAAAACCAAATCAGCACATGCAGACTCCACATAGTCTTGTCTGCCATACCCCTAGAGTATTTTTGTAAAGTCATAGGCGTAGAGGGGGGGCAGTCCCTGCCTGGGTGTCTGTGATTTGCTGTGCAGGTGCGAAGGGGCTGCACTGCACGCAGCTCGGAAGATGTTATAGAAGTAATTTTGGGTCAATATTTCTGTGTAAAAAATTGAGGTTATGATTCTACAGAATCATTACTTATAAACTATACTTTTGTACAAGGGACCAAATGGTAAGGGGTGCCTTCCCGCCCCCATACCCATATTCTCCAAGACGGACCGGATGTTTATAGTTTTAACATTTTTTTAAATAAAGAGCAAATGAGCATTTGGTTTAGCTTACCTGAATAATTGCAATTTGAATAGATTTTGATTGTTTTTTTTAGGTTTTAGAGGTAATAGAGAGCAAGGACAAGAGAGGCCGTCGCACTGTGGAGTACTTGATACATTTTCAAGGCTGGAATTCTTCCTGGGACCGTTGTGTCAGTGAAGATTTTGTACTTAAAGATACAGAAGAAAATAGGCAATTGCAGCGAGACTTGGCTGAGAAATCCCAGCTTCAATTGTAATTATTAGATATTTTACTAAAATAGCTAGAAGTTTTCATAACAGTTGCAACAAGTGGCCTTAATGCAACATTTGTTTACTTAATATAAGCCAGTGCTTGACAACAATCCCACTTGTCATGTAAATTGCATCATCTTTGTGAAATAAAAGCCTAAATCAAGTGTTAGGAGTGGTGAACAACAGTTTTTGAATGGGGACTTAAACTTGTGTCTTCCCAAGATTGAAGTCAGCACTTTGACTATAAAACTAATTGTGGCTTTAAGTTAAGCCTTCATCTTAAAATTTATTGTTAGGAAATCTAATTATTGTGATTAATGAGCATTGTGCTAAGGTTCTCTTGGAATTCTGCCATAATGATAAGTTGTAATATAAATCAAAATTTGTTGTGAGTCGTTCAATGGCAAAAATGAAGCGCAGCGTAGCTCCCACCACAGCCTTCATAGTTATTTTTTTTGCCGCTCAGAAATACTTGATCACTAAGAAATACTTAAAGTTTTGATAGTGTATACCACTGCTCCCCTCATGCCGGAGAGAGGTAAATGTTATCATATTGAGATTAGGTCTATGTTGTTTACTTTTTAATTTTTAAGCTATTGCATAGCTTCTATCGCGGGCCATGAGCGCGGGGACCGAATCCAGAAATTCCGTAACGAAAAAAACCTCACGCTCCCCACTCCAACGAGCACGGAGGTGTGGCGTTGAAAGCCGTGCATCGTCTCGTCATTTCAGTTCGGCAGACTTCGGCACTCGGCAGAGTTCAGCACGGTGTTTGTGTGCGTGCGACTAGACGTATGCATGTACACTAGCTGCTAACTCAATGATAAAAATTCCTGAATAACCTACATGTATTGTAAGATATTAAAAATATTTTAAACAATATTAACTTCTCATTTATTCAATAAGAGAAAAAAAATTGTTTTCTTATCGGTCACCACGCTCAAAAAGTGTAACTTGATTTAATATCAAAGACAACTGCATAAATAAAATAAATAAATAATTATAATTGCATAAGTTGATAAAAAAATGCTATGCAATAGCTTTACCGCGGCAGTCACCGAGTGCCACACGTATTTTTAATTTTTCTCAAAGACAGTGTATTACCTTTTCATGGGAGTAGTGTTGAGGTGTAGGAGACACTCCCCTCTACCCTCCCCCCATTCCCTGCCTACTCTTGCCAAACAATTCTAAAGTTTCACTGTTTCATGCTCTGTGTCTGTATATACATCCATAGCCTCACTATCTATATACCGACATTCCATCTGGCACCTCTTAAGGATTTATTCCAATTAAAACAAAGGCTTCCTTACTTTTGATAATGGTTAGTAATAGAATAAGTAAACTCAACTACCATACAATTTTTCTTTAGTATTAGAGTGATAAGCAAGCTAACACAGCCTACTTATAGTCTACCTAATGGTCAGTTATTAATGAAGCCCAACTAACATCAAATATTAATAATTACCAATGCATTGTCACTATTGAAATGCACTACTGAACCATATCCAACTTGTTATCCAACATTTAAAATATAAAAAATTATAATTGTAATTTTTTTATATTTTAAATTTGTTATACATGCACGCATATACAGTATTTTACCATTCCTGTCCATATATTTTGTTTTAGTATTTTGTTAAAAAGAAGCAATGATGATCTTTTACGTACATTTAAAAGAAAAGGCACTTAATTAAGATTGGGCAAAATTTTATTTAACTTATCCTTGAATAACTTGAATCCTTGTATATGATACACTTAATTATCTATATCTGAAATACCTTAATAATTTTCATCTGTGCTAATACTATAAGATCAGAGATAGGCTCGAAGTCAGTGTAAAGACATACAGAGAGGACCACAACACCACTTGGCCTAAAGCAACAATTTATGTACTTACACAATTTATATGTTGCCAGCTATTCTGACTCTGGTAGATCTAGCCATGACAAAATAAAACTCAGCTAAAAGGAATGGATTATGTTAAGAACTGTTTCTCTTCTTTGTAGGGGTGCCTATTTATACCGAAGAGAGCGTAAAAAGGGCAGCAACACGAACGCAAATTCGGGACCTGCTAAACGTGCCCGTCATGGCTTCAGTGACGATGGCTCTTCAAGTAGCACCCAGCCTGATGGTAAATATATTTATTTTTATTAAATAAAGTACAACAGTGAAACATTAGTTCATATACCTGGGCTGCCTGTCCGAGGGTACATGGACATGAACCCAGTGCTTCAAAAAAGCACACTCGAGTTTTTCACTAATTAACGGTATGGCTATGAGTGCTGCTTGCATCTCAAGAGATAAGCCTTTTACCTACATTACTTTTAAAAAAAAATATTTTTCTTCACAAAATTTAAATTAATGACATAGTTGATTGGGATCTCCATTTAAGCAAGTAATGCCTGTGTTTGGAAACGCTCTTCCTTATCTAAACATACATTTTTTAATTTAAAAACCAAAAATGACAAAAACAAATTACTCGACTTTAACAACCAAAATTTACAAGTGAGTATGTGTACGTGCGTGAGTGCGTGCGTGAGTATGTGGCGTGTGTGTGCGTGTGTGTGTGCGTGTGTGCGTGCGTGCGTGCGTGCGTGCGTGCGTGCGTGCGTGTGTGCGTGCGTGCGTGCGTGCGTGCGTGCGTGCGTGCGTGTGTGTGTGTGTGTGTGTGTGTGTGTGAAGAATTATTTTGTTATATTATATTGTACGTAAAAGTGAATTATGATGAGGTACAGCAGAATTCGGTTTCTTCATAAGTTTTCGACTGCACCCACTTTAGTATCAGGTTTTTACACTCCCTGTACGTTTTGTCGTATATGTTCAATTCTCTATTTATTTTAGCAAAAACTGTTTTGGTACCAGAAGGCTTAACCACAACATCTTTTCGCCGCTTTTTCAAGATGCATTGGTCAAAGGGCAGAGATTTGTGTGCTTTGAGAATTGTCATAGTAACATATATTTGTCTAACAGAGAGTAGATAGACCACTTTTCTATACAGTTGTTCAGTGGAAAAACGTCTTTTTTTAAAATACATCACATAAGGGTTGGGCTCTTTCCAAGTTAAGAAATTTGGTCTTTGCAGCTCCACCCCACACCGGAATGCAATATGTTATAATAGATTGTGCAAGGGACGTGTATATTTGGTTAAGAAGATATCTGGGAGAGTCCGACTGCTTAGTACTTTCAGGTATTACGTGTCTTAGAGTTTTGAAAATCCAAATCAATTTTCGGGTCCTATTAATGACATGTTCAAGGTGTAGCTACCACGATAGCCTTTGATCTATAACGACGCCCAGATATTTAGTGTGAGAGACTTTTTCAATTGATGGGCAGTCACAAGCTTTGTTTTTAGCATCCTCAAAACACATATGAATTTTAAGGCAAAAGTCATTCAGTGGCTGCAAGTTGTTGGTAATGCTAAAGCAAATAAAATTTGTCTTAGCTGTATTCAAAGTGAGGAGATTTTGTTGCAACTATAGAGCAACTCGAGCTAGACCACTTTCAGCACTAGTCTTGACAGCCTCCCAAGATTCATCAGCAAAAACCACAGCCGTGTCATCGGCGTACAGGCGACAGGATTTTGGCATTTGGTATGGTCTTACTGCACAGATCATTGACATAAATTAGAAATAAGCGCGGCCCCAGAACGCTACCCTGTGAAACGCCATATGATGACACCACCGCTTCCCCACCAATGAACCCAGGCAGCTTTACTTTTTGTTTTCTCTCTGATAGGTAGCTTTCGAAAAGAGCAAGCGGAGTCCCTCTTATTCCAATTTTTTCAAGCTTGTGCACAAGGGTAGGGACAGAGACGGTGTCGAATGCTTTCTTCAGATCAAGGAAGACCGACAAACATTTTTTACTGTGGTCGAGGTGTTCTGTTACAAATGTGCTTAATTCAAGAATTGCATCTTCTGTCGATCTTCCTTGTCTGAAGCCAAATTGTGTGGGTAATCTAATATCAAGTAACTTTTCCAGAATTTTAGATATTGCTGGTAGAACGGAAATTGGTCTGTAATTACTAATGTCATCTCTGTCTCCGCCCTTGTACACAGGTGTAATAATAGACTGCTTTAATGGTGCTGGGAATATCCCTGTATCGAAACATAGATTATTTAAGTGGGAAATAATAGGAGCCAAGTCATTGACTGCCAATTTCATGAAGTCATTGGGAATATTGTCCCAGCCTGGAGCGCTGTTTGATTTTAAGCTTAAAATGATATTTTTAACTTCTTCTATGTCTGTATGTAGTAAAACAAAGGAGTGTTATGGCACCGGATTGTTTTCCATAGGTCTACTGTCACATTGACGTTCTGTATTTTATTGGCAAGTTGCATTCCTATATTTACGAAATAGCTATTTGTGAAGTTTGCAGATTCAGTGGGCGATGATTTCAAATTGAATAGTTCAGCGTTAGTATTTTGTGATTGATTACTGTAAGTAATATTTTTTATATTTTTTCCATAGTAATTTATTGTTATTTAAAGGTTTAATAATATTTTCTCTATCATATTGCCTTTTCATTCTTTTTATTAAATTGTTACAGTAATTCCTGTATTGTCTGTATGTAACGCGAAGAATGTCATTATGTGGGTCTTTTCGTAAGTTTTTCTAAAGTTTATTTCTGTTTCTTATACAGCGTAAGAATCCTGCAGATATCCACGGTTGTATTATTCTTTTAGTCCAAGGGATATTAGACACTGATGTATTTTGTTTCAGACTCAGTAATTTTATCTATTAAGTTGTTAGTCACAGCCAATGGATCGTTACAAAATATTAATTCGGATAAGTTTTTAGTCTGTAGGTATTTTAAAGCATTTTCAAAATTTGTAGTTTGTTTAATTTTGTTGTCTTTTAATTGTGTTTTTAATTTAGAAATTGACAGGAGCATAGTAGAATGAACCGTAGTGGTGGTGTGCATAACTGCAATTGATGCTTTATATTTAGATTTATTTATGTTTAGCATAAAGTGATCTAAACAGTTTTGCTCTCTTGTAGGTAAAGTACCTATGGCCGGCTAATATTCCATAGTTTGCAAGCATGTCTAAGTAGTACATTCTGTTTTTATATTCCTATGGTCGTTCCGTAGTTTGAGGCCTAATGTTTATATTAATATCACCTGCTATTATAATACTGCTATGTGAAGGAAGTGACTCGATATGAGAGTCTAATGAATTTAAAAAGTTTTCAGCATTTGGATTCGATGGAGACCGATAAATGCATAATACAGTGTTATTAAGAACATCTACCTGCAGGCATGATGCTTGCTGTAATTTTAGTTCTTTTACTTTGTGTTTTAGAGATTTTTTATATAGACAACCACACCATCATTTTGGTTCAATTGGCGTGTAGTACAGTAGACTTCGTAATTGTTTAGTTGCGGGAGCGGTTTGTTTTGGTTTAGCCTACATTCTGTAAAAGTAATCATATCAGTTTCAAAGGATAAAGTTGAAAGGGTTAGTGTAAAATCGTCAACGTTTTTATATATACTAACAATGTTTTGTGCTACCATAGTAAACTTTTGTTAATGCGTATGCGCCCGTCAAGATCAGTTCCTTCGCATTCAACTCTCTCAATTTTGTCTAATTCCTGTATCGAGTGTAGTGAGTCACCAATTTATGGTATATAAATGTAAGCCAGAGGTAAAGATATTATGTAAGGTTTGCTTAATTTTATGTGTAAAGTCAATAAATTGTAAAAGGGGTCATTAAATTGTGTAAATATTATTAAAGAAAATATATTTGAGTGAAGCTGGACCATTAACAGTTTAAGTTTCTGAGTGTGTGAGAAACAAATAAGTAACAGTTTATGTAACGGTGAGTATATGAATGTGCTGTGTGTATATTTTTGTAAGCGTAAGTGTACAACGTGTATGAGGAATTTGTTGTATGAACATTTGTTGAAAGTTGTCTAGAATTTCAGTATTTACACGTTGCAGAGCGATAATAGTTATGTGAAACATAAACAAAACCCTCATAATAACAGAGTTAAGACAGAATTTTTTTTTGATGCAGTAACCCATAGCAATAGCCAAGGGAAAGCACTATCAATATTAAATATACGAATAGTCAGACTTGCTCTAAAAGTAACGTGTGTACCTGTTGTTCCGATTTGATCTGCACGATAGGGGACTGCTCGGTTTTACGCACATAAATCCTGCCATAGGATGTCCAAACAAATTTTTTATTTTTTTATTTTTTTTAATAAAAAAATAAAAAAAAATATTTTATTTTATAAAATATTATATTATTTATTATTATATTGATTTAGCGAGATCACGATTACTTAGTGTGACACTGCGATCTCTACCTGATCAGGAAGACAGCTGTTTGTCACACTGTTACAATAGAAACTTTTTTATTCAATATAGATTGTAAACAATACTTATTGAAAGTCACTTTTTTCATTTACCACTGGTTTGCAAAAAACAACTCTGTCCTGGGAAGAACCAGCAAGAAATCCAGCGAGACTTAATAGCTTACAATCATGTGCGTTACAATTAACAACACAAAACAAATTAGAAATAGCTTGGTAGTGATCACCCTTCCCAGGGGTTATTATCATCATCCGTAAATTCCTTAATATGATAATAACCATTTTTATACAAACTTAGTCAAATAACACAACAAATAACGGCGACAAATAAAACAATACAAAAATAATCGCAGAAGGCGAGACTGGGGACACGGACTCGTCGTCGGGGTCGGGCTCGGGCAGCTCCCAGCCGCACTCGCCGCTACACAACCCTCACGCCGGCCGTGCGCATATCGCACTGCCCTCTGCACTTAGGTAAATACTGGCACTTTAGTAATTTATAAACTTATAAATTTTATTCATACAACATGATTTTACGAAGTATTATACTAGTTCTATATTTATTGGCATATAATACATAATACAGCGAGGAATATTAAGATCTAAATTGCTGTTTACTCCCCAAATAAAAATGGGCTAATAAGTTGTTGAATCATGAATGGGGGGGTCTTTTAGATCAGCAAACTTTTGAGAACTTTTGTAACATATTCTTTAATTTAGCCAACAAAAACTTAAGGAAAATTTAATTATATTAGTTACATATATTTTAATAATTTTTTGACAGCATATGTAATACATTCGCCTTGTCATTCATCTTCATAATGGCATAATGCATGTTCCTTATTTGCTGTACCTACCCTAAGCAGCTATGGTGAGCACTTAGCAAAATGTAAAGATATCTCACACTCACAGAATACCAACGTAAAATAGTAGCTTAATGCTGCTGTATTTCGTATGGTGAATGTAGAGAACCGGAGACCCTTTTTACTGGAAATGAGACATTCCATCTTAGTCCTCACGGGTGACAACACATCTGCATTTTGATTTGTAATCGAGGATACACGTAGGTGTCTGTGGGCCACAGCAAGTTCGTTTGTCACCCTATCCTATGAAATAAAAAATATATACCTAGCAAGTGCTGTACTTAAATAAAAGCATAAAAATGCCTATAATGAATGACAGTGAATGATTTGGTCCTCAGAGACCGGCTGACATTTGACTACCACTTGGTAGTGAAGCGCGGGCGGCTCTCCCGGCTGCCTGCTACGCCGTGTGCCGCACAGATTCTCGAGTCGTTCGTGAAGTGGTTCGCGCGCGCCGGTGCCTGGCACCCCGCGCGCGCGCGCCATGAGCCGCCGCAGCGCCCCGACATGCTCGACGTGTCCTGCAGGTACACATCGCGGCACCAACTCTAGCGTGAAGTAGTTCGCGCGCCGCCACGAGCCGCCGCAGCGCCCCGACATGCTCGACGTGTCTTGCAGGTGCACGTCGCGGCACGTACTTTAACGTGAAGTGGTTCGCGCGCCACGAGCTGCCGCAGCGCCCCGACATGTTCGACGTGTCCTGCAGGTATACGTCGCGGCACGTACTTTAGCGTGAAGTGGTTCGCGCGCCACGAGCCGCCGCAGCGCCCCGACATGCTCGACGTGTCCTGCAGGTACACATCGCGGCACGTACTCTAGCGTGAAGTGGTTCGCGCGCCACGAGCCGCCGCAGCGCCCCGACATGCTCGACGTGTCCTGCAGGTACACGTCGCGGCACGTACTCTAGCGTGAAGTGGTTCGCTCGCCATGAGCCGCCGCAGCGCCCCGACATGCTCGACGTGTCCTGCAGGTACACGTCGCGGCACGTACTCTAGCGTGAAGTGGTTCGCTCGCCATGAGCCGCCGCAGCGCCCCGACATGCTCGACGTGTCCTGCAGGTACACATCGCGGCACGTAACTCTGGCACTGAACGAACCGTGGATGGGGTAGCTGCGAATGTATCAGTACGGTGGACGGAATGCGACTGGAGAGCCAATCAGCGCGTGCGAGTGATACACACAGCCAATCATATGCGCCATAACAGTCTAGCGGTGAGCTAGACTTGCGTGCCGAGTGTTGTACAGTGCTTCGCTTTGCTGCGATCTACGCACTGCACAAAAAGAAATTAACACTCAATTGAAGCGGAGCAAGCGTAACTCCCATGGCGCAAGAAAACGATTCTTTGAAATCTATCTCCTCCGTAACCCGTAGGCCAATTTACATAATTTTTTCGGAAATATTTATAGCTGAACGCAGACAAGGTTTGTTAACAATAAAAATCTGAATTTATCTAAAAGATATTAAAAAATAACCAAAAAATAAATTGTCTAGGGGAAAATACATGTAAGTCAATATACGCGATAAAGTCCTTAAAAACTAGTTTCATTAAAATTTGTAGTGTTGGTGTAAACATAAAATGTCATGCGTTCTGACTTTTGACCTTGTACTTCCGAACTTTTGTCACTTGCACAAATTGCTTCTGAAGCATTCTATAGTCATTTACGTTACCTTTACTGTTACAGCCTATCAAAATTCTACTGCTGAGTATAGGCCTTTCGCATAAGACTGACACGCTTAGTGCAAAGCTCAGAAAAAGATTACACATACAATATATCACAATACCAAAAAGCAGCCCCTATGACCAGACCGGATTTTTTTAAATTAAATCGCACTTCCCCTCGATATCAAGCAAAAACGCTTTCAGTAATTTTTAAATAGAATGGAGATATGCAGAACTTGTGTGAAACCGAATGCTGCTTACAGACTAATGAAATTTCACATGCTATGTAACGTGAAAGGAGCATTTCATCAGTGTGGACGCAGCGCGTGCATGAACGGAACTTTGTGCATCTGTTTCCGGCATGCGCGCGAACGTAACGTCAGTTTGCTAAGAACACTCGAAGATAATGAAGTGTGAAGACCAATTGCTAACTCTGAAGGTCTGAGATCTTAGAAAACGCCGGAGACCTCGACTTTGGTGTGACAGAGTGCTGGTGCAGAATTAATGGCCGACATAACGTGTTCGCGCGCGTCTCAACACAACCTGTCCATACTGGTGCTAGCACACTGCGTGCCCCTTTGTGTTCGTTAGAAAAACCGTCAAATCACAAATCACTGCGCGCGACTTGAATTTGGTATTCACTGTGGGCGGAAAATTGTTAAACATGTTACGTTACGTAGCGTAAGTCTGTACGCGGTATTATGATCTCGAAATTTTTTATTTAATATTTCTGACCCACATTGATACCCATAACATTACCATAATATAGCATTGAAACATTGATAACTAACTAATTATGTATTTACACCTAAATATTCTATTTATTTTTATCGACAGGTTGAATCTAGTCCGAGAAGTCGCAGATGGACTAAGAGTATACTTCGACTTCGTTCTGCGCGGGCATTTATTGTACAAACAGGAACTGAACCAATATCACGAGATCTGCGGGCAGTTTAATGATGAGTAAGCTATTTTATCTATTCGTGATATATTTACGAGAGTAGTGTTACATTAACATCTCTGATTATAAAACAAAAGGCTATTGTCTGTGTCCTATAATTGATATTTATATAATCTACTTAACTATATCTCTAGTTACAAGTTACTGGAATTCAAAAATCATGCAAACAGTAAATTGTACAAAACGGTAAATTGTTTAGTAAAATGTTAGGAGTTTTAATAAAAAATGAGGTTTTTATAATTTGCTATTTTAAATTATAATTATTGAAAACCTTTTCTGAACGGAATTCTAATTATATATGTCGCCGCAAGGACATCTTCTGTTGACGAAGCCTAGTCTTTTAATTGTTATAAATTATAATAATCAACAGTGTATAATTATTAATACTACAATTTAATAACAGCAATTTATCAGAAACATAACATGTAACTAGCTAGTTCTTTAAAACTCTTTTGGTTTACATATCTCTTTATTGACAACTACCTAATTCCTATTAAAACAACTATTTATTCGATTATCAACTTTTGACTGAAATATTATTTTAAATCGTAGAAATAAATAATTGTCGATTTGATTATTAATCCTGGTAATTGAAATTACTTAAGTAACCTAATGAATTCAATAAAAAGTTATTGTTTAGTGAAGTGTTGACCAATCAAATCGTCGACCAATCAGAGCACACCTAAGTCGTTATTACGTTTTCCTTATTGTATGAACGCGGGAATAGACTCGCTTCAGTTCCTGTGCTCGTCGGTGTAGTTCTATTTTCCTGGTAAAACTTTGTGAGTATTATTTGTGAGTTTTCATAATAAGAAGTGTAGAATAAAGTTATTGTAGTGCAAAATTAAAAGTGAGTGGTCTTAGATCTCTTTCATTCCAATGGAAACAATATACAGTAGCACGACTGAACCCTTGTCAAATGGGGACAGTGGTGCTGCCTCACCATAAAAACAGCCCCGAGGTTTCCGCTTCGACATATAATACTGTTTATCATCAGAACTACTATGTACTATAATTATATATTTATTTACATATTATTTAAATAAACATATAATATCCATTGTAATTTAAAAGACAACTAATAACAATTTAACACCAGTCACAACATTCTTTAAGTTTAAGTTACAAAAGTAATATTTGTAATTACTGTCCGCTTACTAATTAATCACTGTTGTTCTTCATTCTCAACTACGCCTATGAAGCTATCTCGACTTAGCTGATATCCAACCTTGAACACCTCCAAAATTTCACTATCCGCTTTCTACTATTATTTCCAAGTCATGCCTCCATTACAACTTATCAGGTATTTTTTATAGAATAAGGATGACAAACGAGCACACAATCCACTTTATAATAAATGGTAGCCATGGCCCATAGACATCTACACTTATCCTCATTTAAGATTAAAAATGCAGATGCATTGTCACCCCTGAGGACCAAGATAGTATGCCTCCTAGGTTTCCGGATCTCTACACTCACCATACGAAACAGCAGCTTCAAGCTGCTGTTTTACGCTGGTTATTCCGCTGGAGCGTGGTCCTACCCCGGTCGAGCCGACCCATTCGTGTTACAAGTAATATAGCTGTAACGTGGCTCCGTCACTTAAAAAGGTCCACTGCTGAACATACTCCTCCCTATAATCTCATAGGGGTTTGTGCATAGGTAGGTGCACTTGACTGCCTCGTTGGTCTAGTGTTTGTAGTAGTGCGACTGCTGATCATGAGGTCCTGGGTTCGAATCCCGGGTTGAACCAAAAAATTAATTAATGAGTTTTTCCGTCAAGAAATTCTCAGTAGTTGCCCGGAGTCAGGAAGTTGGCGGTGTCTCACCCCCATACCTTGGAAAGCACGTAAAGCCGTTGGTCCTGCGCCTGATCTCTCTCCGGTCGTGTCGGTTTACCGTCCCATCGGATTATGAGATTGAGCGAATAGAGAGTGCACCTGTGCTTGCGCATACACTTGGGCACTATAATCCTGTCCTGCGCCGATGGCTAGCCTCCATTGAGGCAGGCCGCCGTGGCCGAAATTCGGTCTGAAGGACATTATTACATAATACATACATAAACACTCACGCCTGTCACCCAGAGGGGTAGGCAGAGACTACAGACTTCCATTTGGCACGATCCTGACACACCTCTCTCGCCTCCTTCACATCCATACACCTACGCATACATGCTCGTCGGTTAAGGGTACTCCTTCCTAGGCCCACCCTACACGTGTCCCCCGGGTGGTGCTAAATGAGCGACAAGCCGATACCACAGACTCGGCTCCACGCCGTGGTAGCGGCGTAAAATATACTACCCCATATTTCGCACCATGGGGAACTATATAAAAGAAATGGGAGGACATTATTAATATAGCTGTAATGTGGCTCTGCCACTTAAAAAGGTCCACTGCTGAACATACTCCTCCCTATAGTCTCATGGGGGTTAGTGCATAGGTGCCACACTTACCAGGCCGGTCGGAAAACGGATTTTTTAATTTTCTAGATGTTATTTGGGACGATATGAGGTTGTAGATATTCTTACATCGCACGCAACTGCACTGTTTCACATTTGTTTAACTAAATACACTTTTGCTCTTTTATATTCTTTTTATCGCCTCTACTCTATTCTATCTACCTTTCCAACTCCCGGTTCTTGCGGTCCAGTGAATAATGACAATTCATCATTTAACACTTTATTGCGACAATAGTTTTAATGTCTGTTTATTAAACTGGAATTCTCGCCCTATTCATATCCATCTACAAAAGTAAAAAATTATGCTTGAGCAAAAAATACCAAACATACTTACATAAAAACAGATCTAATATTAACCTAAAAATATTCCAAGCGTAATCTATTGTTACAAATTTAAAAGAAATAGAAATAACTTAGAAAACGAGTCGGACCGTGCATGAAGGTTTTTTTCCAAGGGTTCCGTACCGTCGTACAAGATTTAATACTATGTAGATACTTTAAATTTTTTTAAATACTTTTGTAAACGAAAAATACACGTGTCATATCTGCGAATCCCATTTAATTTTTAAATTATTTAATTTTATTATAATTTTTTTAACGAATGTAGGAATATAAACTCTGAGCATTTCAAGTGTGTACATATTACCATTATTAAGATAAAAAATACACGTTTCTAGTAGGGAAGCCCCCTTTATCTTTCATTTTTATTATTTGTTGTTATAGCGGCAACAGAAATACACATCCTGTGAAAATTTCAACTGTCTACCTATTACGGATTATGACATACAGCCCGCTGACAGACAGCGGAGGCTTAGTAATAGGATCCTGTTGGTGACCCTTTGAATACGAAACCCTAAAAGCTCATTTGTTTCTCAATTGTTCACATTTGTTTCAGTCACGACATAAAAAGCGATTTAGAAGACGACGGGGAGCAGTCACAAGACGACGGCACGGTCGCATCAGTTGAAGATGATTTAAAAAGTCCCAAGATGCCAGAATACTCGCACCTACCTCCAGACCCTACTGATGGAGAAAATGGCGAAGGTAAGGCCTTTTCACCGTGCCATCAGTATCAAAAACTATCGGCAGATTGTAAAGATCCATAGGGGAGATGTATTGGAATAGTGGTAGCCTTTAATATATCGAAAAATAATATAGCAATAGGGTAGTTGTTTACGTTTAGTTTTTTTTTTTTTTTTTAATAAGAGTTCTGTTAGAATGGAGTTATAAAGATAGAGTTACAGGGCTCAGATGGTTAACGCTCGCTGCAAATATAACAGAACGCGAGTAACCCGGGTTCGATCCCCGCCGACACCAATGAAATTGTTAATTGCAATTTTAAGTGCTGATTTACCACGTGCTCGGCGGTGAAGAAAAAAAATATTTCGTAGACATGTGAAATTCGCCAACACGCATGGGGCAGCGCGGCGGACAATTCCTTGCCCTAAAACCCTCTCAGTAATGAGGGGAGGCCTGTGCCCAGCAGTGGGATGTATATAGGCTGTAACTTTACTTTACAAAATAATTTAGAATATTTATTTGTTTATCTAGTAGAGCACATTATAATAAAAAATGTTCTGTATTGTAACAATCAGTTAAATATGTACTGTTACTTTTATTGAGTAAAGCCGACGTAAGCCGGTTTATATGTATAAAGCGGGGATAATTATTATTAATAACTAGCGATCTGCCCCGGCTTCGCACGGGTGGATTTTGGATCTCGACAACATATGCATGTAAACCTTCCTTTTGAATCATTCTGTCTATTGATGAAAACCGCATCAAAATCCGTTGTGTAGTTCAAAAGATCTAAGCGTACAGATGGGCCGAAGCGACTTTGTTCTATACTATGTACAGAAAATCACGTATGCAAAGTTGCAGTCATTCGCTAACATTTATACAAAAAAATAATAAAAAAAACTACACAAATAAAAATAATAAAAAATAAAAATAATAAACAAATAAAAATATAAAATAATAAATAAGGCAACACCAATTTAATAATTTCTTTATGCTTTCCTTACAGATGACTCTATCATGAAAGCTATGGACTCAACGGATGGTACAAATTCCAACGACGATCCTATTTCTAGTTTAGGTGAGAGTTATTTTACTTGTTCTAGCGGTGCAAGAGAATTCGCCAACCCATTTTGTTACGCGTTTGTTGTAAAAAGTGACTATCATAGAATACTATAACACATACGGTGTATTCAGCAGGGATGGGAGATATATATATATATATATATATATATATATATATATATATATATATATATATATATATATATATATATTAATCACAATATTGATTCTACGTCCTTTCATTTCGCATTCTTTTAGCGTCCACCACTTGTAGGCATTTTTGATACATTATGACAGCGTATATTGGTCCATTAAACAATTTCAAAGATATTGTTTAACTCATTTCTTTGAAAATTTACAATATGTCGATATACAAATATTCGTATATTGCCAGACGGAGGGAAACCAATCAGGACAGGAAATCCCTTCCATATTACAAATTATCCAGAATCCCCATAATATACATAGTTTTTAATTCATTCTCCTGCTTAATGCAATTCTTTTGTATGGTGCGACGTTGCCACTCTTATTAGTTATTCCGCTTTGTAATATTTTATTTATAAGTGATATTTTGTTTACGTAGGTATTCGATAGATTCCTATAGTCTGTTTTTTTCGCAGGAGACAAAATAACAGATCGTTATTAGATTCGTTTAGCACGAATAATACAGTTTTTTTATGATTCTAGTTTAGATTAGATTTAATTTTAGTCACTTAAGTTTCGTATATTGTTCAAAATAATGAAATAAATCCACAGAATGTACAGTTACGAAAAATACGCAATATCATTTTTGTTTCTGGCGAAAAAAAAAACAGATAGATATCATGATTAATTTACCAACTAGTTATTCGTTTACTAAATACGAAAAAATATCTAGGATTGCCCAGCCGTGATACATTATAGATTGACTATATTATTATTTATTTTACCATTGTAAATAAGTACTAATTGTAGATATTGACAGGTTTAATAGAAGTTCATTTTCTTATATTGTGACTAATAACCTAATATGACATTGGGAAGAAACTAAAAATAAAACTTAGTGTGAATATTTTAGGATATTCTTATGTCCGTATATGTGATCATAAAAAGTACATTCGCAGTGAGAGCACCAAAACTCAATACGATCAAGTAAATAAATTATATTTTCGGAGTTATTCATGTCAGAAACAATACGCCACGGTCTATTGTAGAAATTATCAACCCATTGGCAGTTAATGCAGTAAAACCTTATATTAAAATGAGTTTCTTCGCCAGACCAGATTAGGTTATTAGTCAGAGGTTATTAGTCACAATATAATAAAACAAATTTCCATGAAACCTGGCAAATCTACAATTGAGTCCATCTTCCTGTACTCAATCAGAAGGTAACTTATACTCAAACAGAATTATGGGTTGCTTACAAAGTACCAAATGTAAAATGTTAAAATATAGTGCAGCATGAAATAAACCGATATGCCGACGTCCGCATCTACATTTATAAAAATATAACTAAATTCAAAAATGCGGGTGTCAAATATCATTCATTATGAAAGTTTTAGGATATTCGGTCGTCCATATTATGTGTAGGTAAATGTAAGGTTAAGAAAACAAGTTTAAAAGTAAAATTACTAGTACCAAGCGCAGTATAAACCATATAATAATGTCCTGCAGGCCGAATTACGGTCACGGCGGTCTGCATCAACGGAGACTAGCCATCGGCGCAATACAGGGTTATAGTGCCCAAGTGTATGCGCAACTACAGGTGCACTCTCTATTCCCTCACTCTTATAATCCGATGGGACGGTAAACCGACACGACCGGAGAGAGATCAGGCGCAGGACCAACGGCTTTACGTGCTTTCCGAGGGAAGGGGTGCTACACCGCCAACTTCCTGATTCCGGGCAGCTATTGATAATTTCTTGACAGAAAAACTCAATAATTGATTTTTTGGCCCGACCCAGGATTCGAACCCAGGACCTCACGAACTCACGATCAGCAGTCGCACTACTACAACCGCTAGACCAACGAGACAGTCATAACCATATATCACCAAATACAAGTAACACGTTGGCAACGGTGACGGAACGGCAACGTCGCATCTCCTAATTTTGTGCGGAAGTCAAATCGGCTATAAATGAAAATATTCAAAAATCGACAGCAGCACTATTATTTTTACTTAGTGGAACTACGTAATTAATTATATAAAAAAAATATAATATAATAATATATGGGATGTATATATATATTGTACGGTATGGTACTATGATGATTTGATGATATTTTAAGTTTATTTTTTTATCCATATCTACATACTAGTAGATTATCTCCTGTGTACACGTAGTAGAAGTGTTTTACATGCATAAATTGTGAGCCATACAAATTTTAGTCCTGTGCGTGATGACGTTAGTCACAAGTTCATAGCGTCATCAAACCGTCGACGAGTTGGCTTTGCCGATTGGCAGCATTTGTTAAAGTTTTAGGTGCAACAATCCCACGGGAGTCAAGTTCCCGCCAAAAACGCGAACACATCATTTTTATTTTTCACTCGAGAGTTAGCTCTTTAATTTAACTTCTTTAACCTTAAATCATCAGGGTACAGTTGCAAGTTTCGTGTATATGTCAACCGTATAATCAATAATTATAAATTTTTTACCACGGGTTGTTAAGCCCCACTCCCTCCAGGTAAAATACAATTTTGAACGTTAATTCATTCGCAGTTCAAGAAAACAATTACGACGAGGAAATGAGAAATGATCTAAACGACAAATCGATGAAAAGCGATTCCCCGAGTGAAGACATCTCTAACCACAATAGCTGTACGAAAACGAGAGAGGGGCGTTCCGCTACACGCAGGGGTAACGTTGCCAGAAGGTGAGTTTTTTTATAGAATACAGGTGGCAAACGAGCGCACAGTCCACCTGATGGTTAGAGGATATTGCATACCAATAAACATCCACATGTATCTTCGATTAAGAATCAAGATGCAGATGCGTTGTCACCCCTGACGACTAAGGCGGAATGACTTAATTCCAGAAAAAGTATATCTACGGTTCTCTACACTCACCATACGAAACACAGTAGCATTAAGCTGTTATACGCTGGTATTCTATGAGAGTGTGGGCCTTCCCTGTTCGTGCTACAACCATAATATAGTTGCAGTATGGTTCTATCACATATAAAGTCTGAAGAAAAGCAGTCCAAATATTTTATTAAATTTAAACTCGTTTCGAACTAGGACGAACACCCTACAGGTCATCTGACAATTATTATTGGTTATGAAACAAATCATCATCTTTCTTTTTCTCGTGTCGTAAGAGGCCACCAAGGGAAAAAAAATGTACTGTTAGCCGATTGCCTCTCACAGGTGCATCGAAGCGAACTGTATCTAAGGATAATCATCCATCTCTTATATCCTAAACTGCTAAACATAGGTTTTCCCATAGTTTGCCTCAAAGCATTGAGCTAATATGTACTACGTACTAGACGCGACACTGCATTCAGCTACTATGTTCCATTCAACTGCGGTCCATACACCGCACTTTAATCAGTCACTCGCTAGGCGCTTGTAGAGTTGACACGTGTTGTGTTGATTTAAAAAAAAATCTCGTGATAAAAATATGCCGTCGTGCGTACTTAGATATTGCACAAATAATTCAAGAAATGCCAGTAAAAACCAAGGAATTACTTTTCATTGGTTAATAAGATACTTAATCAATAAAAAAATATTATAAATTAGTAATAAAACAAATTATTCTTGAGACGCCATCTTGTGTCACGTAATATAGATTATAAAATTAATTTGTTCAGATGCGACATTTCTATGGGTACTTAAAAATAAGACGAATATATTATTATACACATTGTTTTTGTAGAAACATATATGAATTATCATAATTAGGCCAAATTTTTATATTTAAATCTGCTAATTCTTATATTTTATTTTTAGGTTTCCACATCAAAGTCAAAGTGTAATAAATTCGTCAATTTTTAACTCTCGCGTGCCCAGTATTTATGAACGGCTCTTATTCTAATTTAAATAAATATATTAGAATATGTAATTTAAATGTTATATTAACAAGTTTTGTTAAACATACATTTAGTATGTTTTTTTTATATTTGAGATAGATACCTTTTAAAATATTGAGATAAAAATATCATAAAAATGTAATTGTTATATAATATTATGTAACATTATATTAAATAAGCAAATATAATATACAAAATAAATGACAAAATTTAAAAAAAATTCTCGATGTAATTTACCTATTTAACAGTACAATCTTTTATTACCTACTGATCATTCTACCTATGTTTATTCTATGATAAGAAAATATACGGCGCGAACACAGAGTAGCGCACATTTTTTGTTTGAAATAGCTGTTCTAGTACGTAAGTTCATATTACTTCAATGCCTCAAAGAGAGGATATTTGCCATAGGTGGCGATTGGCGACCGCGATTTAAGAAAACGCTTCTCCCATCCCCTGGTTTGTTTCCCTCTTAAGCAAAGCCTTAAAAAATCTGTTTATCACAATCGTTATTTGGTAATACCTTTGTGATGGCGATGTAAGTGAAAGATTTGGTGGCCTTCGATAGTAACAGTCGTTTCAACCTGGCAAGACATTTTTACCTTACAGTACGTTTGCACTGAGAAATATCCAACACGTAATGTTTTGAAACAAATGGCATAAAATAAATCACACAACATGTTTTGTTGATGGTGGCGTTCGCACTCGCAAAAACTTTTTTTCTTTATTTATCATAGAACCAACAGCACGTTATAAATATTAACAGAACTTCGTAAATAATCCATAATGCCAATAACAGGTTCTTACTTTATATAAATGTACATACTATTGCTTATTATAGTTTACAATTAATAATATTACAATCAATAAAATTACAAATTAATAATATTAATTACAAAATATTTGGATATATTAAAGTTGTTTAAAAAATAAGTTTCACAAAAAGAAAAAGACAATAAGCAGTAAACAAAAAAAAATACGTGTGGCACTCGGTGACTGCCGCGGTAAAGCTATTGCATAGCATTTTTATCAACTTATGCAATTATAATTATTTATTTATTTTATTTATGCAGTTAAGTCTTTGATATTAAATCAAGTTACACTTTTTGAGCGTGGTGACCGATAAGAAAACAATTTTTTTCTCTTATTGAATAAATGAGAAGTTAATATTGTTTAAAATATTTTTAATATCTTACAATACATGTAGGTTATTCAGGAATTTTTATTATTGAGTTAGCAATAATAAAAATTCCTGAATAACCTACATGCCGCAATGCGTGATAGCGTGCCGAACTCTGCCGAGTGCCGAAGTCTGCCGAACTGAAACGACGTTAGACGATGCACAGCTTTCAACGCCACACCTCCGTGCCCGTCGGAGTGGGGAGCGTGAGGTTTTTTTTCGTTACGGAATTTCTGGATTCGGTCCTCGCGCTCAAGGCCCGCGATAGAAGCTATGCAATAGCTTAAAATAAAAAAATATTACATAACAACTCTCGGACTATAAAATAGTAAATAACATAAATGAAATTTACATCACATAATGTACACATTTGCCTGCATTAACTGTGTAAAATTTTCAACAGATAATCAAACTTATCTTTCAACATGACAATATTTCTCCAAATTTGTTTTCAAACATTTTGTTTCTGTAGTTATAAAGATGTCATATAGTTAAAATATGTAATATAGTTAAAATATGTAATATAGTTAAAATATGTAATACAGTTAAAATATGTACAATAAACTGTCAAACGTATTTCACTACATGTTCTTTGACTATGCAAACGCTTTTTGATACATTGACAGTGTTTAAAAACATGTTTTTTTTTTTGTGAAAATCGCGTCAGTGCAAACTCACGGTTAGGTAAATTGTTATAGGCTGATAACACACACGGCGGCATCAAATACGAAACCTATTTTATTAGCGACCCGTGTCGACTTCACCTGATTGAGATTAGGATAGGACGTTTAGATTTAAGATAGTTAAAGTTTTTTTTTTTTTTTTTTTAATGTCCAAGTTTTTTTGGACAAAATATAACCTAGATCACTCCTGGCATTTCTCTTTGTCTATCCGTGAAGTGCCATTACAATCATTTCAGCTATTTAGAAGGTTAGCCCCGACGCATATACATGCAGACAGATAAAAAATTAAAAATGGTTTTTCATATTTTAACGGCATGCACACAATCCCCTCAGCTCAAAATAAGACAGGTTGTTTCGATATTACAGAAAGACACTGCAATTTTATTTATGTTTATAGATATGTATTTAAAATTGTTAACGCTGAAGGAAAACATGAGAAAAATTGCATGTTACAATAAAATGTATTTTCCATGGATTATTATGCTATTACCCGGGAAAAATCCCTTTGCCACTTCTATGGTAAAAAGATATTAATTTATTAAGAGAGTTATTTATTTTTAGGCTCCGTTTACATAAATCTGCCGTTTCACATTCAGAGAATGAAGAACCTGCTATTAATTATTAAGCTGAACCTGATATTAGTTATTAATAGAGTAAATTTATTTCTTTTTAGGCTCCGTTCACATAAATCTGCCGTCTCACATTCGGAGAATGAAGAACCTGCGCCGTCTAAGTCTGCAGGGGAACAGCGTACATTTGAAACATTTTCTTCAAGGTAAATATTTATTGTGTTTAGTGCATTTATAAAAATGCATATCATCAAATCGATCAGCATCATATCACATTCAGAGGTGTTTCACATTTTATTAATAAATAATTTTAATTTTAAAAAGATTTATAAAAACTGCAGACATCGGTTTACATAACTTATGAAGATCAACATGAAAAGATCTGATTCCATTTAACCTATATAAACCTTACTCTCTCTTACGTACTAAAGCCTCGCGCGCGCATTATAGTTATTATAGTATAGCGTATTATAGTTCGTTGCTACATCCTAGTATCCATCCATCCATCCTTTCCGTGGTACTACATCATCACACATTTTATGTATTATTTTCACTAAAAATTAGATATGTGATAAAAAGATAGTCTATTGACTTTTGTACCCCTCTGTCGACATCATCAACGTGTGCGCCGTAATAAGTACTTTTGTTTAGTTTAATTTAATGAAAAATGTGATGTTGGCTGCCGAAATTAAAATTAAAATAAGACGTTTGGAAAATGAGTTAGTCTCGAAGAAAACCGCCGATGTTTCCCGTTTTAAAGGTTAGTTTTAAAAACTTTTTATAAAATAATTTATGATAATTCTTATTTGTGATGCCAAGTGATTTTAAGATAAAAGTTTAGTAAGTCTAGTAGTAGTTCTAGTTCTGCCAAAAAAAACTACATAAATAAAGTTAATGGATACTTAATAATAGTTTCTTATGCTTACGTGAACACTACACATTTAAATAAAACTAGTTCTTACTTTTTACTTAACTTTTTTTATATTCACCGCTGCAACTGCAAGTCTTCAAGATACTATAAGTTCATACTGCGTAGATCAGATCAAAAATAAACAGTTTTAATCTGGAGCTAGCTGTGGTTAACTATTACATTGAGACGTCGAATACCTCAGCCCCCCCCCCTCCCGTGACCTTAGGTTCTGTTAAGTGTTCGAAACATCGGTAATATAAAATAAATTAATATACGCGATAAATTCCGTATACCTACATATTAAGTAAAAAGTAAAGGGGAGACTTGTTTATTACTTATTTACTTATTATGTACTTGTTACTTATAATTATTATTACTAAATACGGGATTTATATAATAAATTTCAAGTTATTTTATTTCCTCAGTAATGGCACGTGATGTCACCTAGAACCGAATAGAAACTTTTATTCAATATAGATTATAAATAATCCTTATTGAAAGTCACTCTTTTGTTCATATATGTTACACAATTAATAACACAAAACACATTAGTTTTTTACATTATTTAGCTTGCTAGCGATCACTTCATTCCCAGGGGTTATTATCATCCATAAATTACAGTTTTATGAGTAGTCAGTAATAGTTATAAGTAACCCTTTTTAAACAAACTTTCTTTAATAAAATTCTGAGGTCAAATTATGTATATTTTCTGAGATTCAGTTGTAAAATCATATACATCGTCCCAAGAATGAATTACTGACTCGGTGGAGTCGAATAACTGGACCAGAAATTTAAAAGCAAATAATGGGGATTGTTTCATTTATTATTGTTTGAAGTATATTGTTGCGCGCCACAGTTGATGCCTGGTACATGGCACTAGCGCCATCTATTATCAAATAGAAGAACTAAGCTTTCTTTGTAAAAAAAAAAAAAAAAAGTAAACTAAATGTGTTAAATGTGATTAATTACTGGTGTGTTTTTAAATTTTAATCGGTGTTCAGTAAATAAAGTGTCAATTTTAATAATTTAATCGGCAGTTTTTACTGTCACGAACCCCAAGCTCGTAACATTGTTATATAAGCACCATTATTTCTTCAGTTCATTCACGCGATGTCATCCGGAAATATACAACCTGCTTTCTTAATGTAGTGCTATCCAGATTACACGTGATGTCATCCAGAAAATAAATATAAAAGTAATTTAACCTTCTTCTATAAGATCCTGAATATAACTCTCGTAACGAGTATGGGGAAATTAAGTTTGACGCGCACGGCTATGACGGTGGCAATGGTAATGTCAGTGAGGAAGAAATCGCATCTGAGCGACGCTGGCCGTAGTCAGTGATTGAATCCCGCCCCGGCACCCCTCACGCTTTCAACCGAGATTACTATCCTTGAAGAGTCTTCACAAAGCGTCCGCGAATATTCACCACTTCAAAACGAGAAAATTGTGCTTCCCCTAAATCGTGGCAGCCCTTGATAAAGCAGGAACGTCGGACTAATAGGAAGAAGATCCCTACAGAAATCTCTGAATGTTGTTGTAAAATCCTAATAGAAAGGTTGGCGAAGGAACGTAAGTAGAACTTGCTTATGAAAACACTAATCAATTTACTAAATCGCCAAGAGTAAACGCCGAGGTTAATTTGAAGTGCTGATATCACGTGTTCGGCGGTGAAGGAAAACCTTGTGAGGAAACCTGAATTTTTGAGAAATAAATATTCTATACGTGGTAGGCCATACTGCAGTTATATTAGTAGTATAGTTGTAGCACGAATGGGTCGGCTCGACCGGGGAAGGACCACGCTCTCACAGAATACCAGCGTGAAATAGTAGCTTAATGCTGCTGTGTTTCGTATGGTGAGTGTAGAGAACCGGAGACCCTTTTTACTGGAAGCGAGGCATTTCATCGTAGTCCTCACGGGTGACAACGCATCTGTATTTTGATTTGTAATCGAGGATTGATGTAGATGTCTATGGGCCGCAGCAACTACTTACCATCAGGTGGACTATATTATATCGTTTGTCACCCTATCCTATAAAAAAATATAAGAAAAAATATATTTCGTAGAGATGTGAAGTTCGCCAACACACATTGTGGCCGGACGACGGACATTTCCTTGCTCTAAAACTCTTTCAGAAATTAGAGGAGACCTGTACCCAGCAGTGGGACGTATATATAGGCTGTAATATATAAACACCGAGGTCGTGTTAGTAAATAATTGTAAAGCAGTAAAATCACGTGACAGGCAAAACAAACTAGGTTGTAGTATCGCAGATTTAGCACATTTAACGTCATAGTAATGTAAAGAAATAAGCAAATTCGATATAATTAAACAAACATCTAAGATTAATCAAATTCGAACAGACCATGAGGAAACACCAAACCGTTGACAACTAAATATTCCAATGTAAACAAACGCTTTATTAATTTAATTCATGGCATTAAACGGAAAAAAATCTCTTTGGTGAGTCTTAGTCTGCCACTCCCAGGTGGTAGTCATAAGCACATTGCCTACCACCACCCCACCGTCACCTCCGCTGCCTATCAACCGGTCACACAACAACTGCAGTGGTCGCTGTAGGTACCACACGCTGGCCGAATTCCCTTACACTACTGTCCAAAAACTATACATTTTACTTTATGCTTACGAGAAATGCTTTTCGAGCCGTCGCGCCGTGAGTTAATTATAATGCACCGTTTTCCAATTAAACTCGAGTGTGTGTAATAAATGAAGAAACATGCTTACTAAACGCCATATACTGACGTAGTATAACCTTAAACCATCTTCAAACTACATAGCTTAAACTAATATAACTATCTAAATGGTGTATGAATCGCAATTCATACACCATTGGTTAGACGAAACAACAGATCCCAAAATATTGAACATGGTAAAGGAAACTTTCACCCAACTTGTAGAGCCTGTTAACCCGCCTTATTATAGACCAAAATTTTGAAATCGACAAAAATACTTAAACGCCCTAGATTTACTTGCCACCCGTTCGACTTGTGTATAGCTCCGTTCATTTTTACGAAATTAATAAAGCCGGTCCTGATAATCTTACGTTGTTAGGGCCATAAATTAATATCGTATTTAGATGACCTCTGGATCACGGCAGACTTAGCTCGTGCTTAAATTGAATAATAGAATTTATTGTCTTGATCAGGTTTTGTGATAATGATAAAAGTGTTCTTATACTATAATAATAAGTTATGAAAATTTCTTGGACTTTTATTGAATTCATAGCATATGAATACAATTACCGTCTGAAAATATGTGTAAATTTATGGAATAATTAATGTCTTCCAAGTCGGAAGTCAAAATAACCACACTTCGCTTAATTTAAGAGGCTATAGTGAAAAATTAAGGGCCTATACTACCTCAAATGGCTTAGCAAGATCCTCCGTTATGCGGAAAATATTGCAGCATTAATTTTGAAATAAATATATGGTAAAGTTGAGGATTAATGTTAAGTACTATGTTAGACGAAAACACTAAACTTTCCTCGATAGAAAAAAATCCAGTTACCTCCAAACTGAACAATAAACCGCTGGTATTCATACAACATTTTAAATTATAGATCATGAAACGTTGCATACCAACTGAAGTAACTATAAAGCAGGGCTTATGTTTTTTTATTTTTTTTAATTACCCCTATTTTCACTGTAAAAATAAATTACCTAAACTATCGGCGTCTTGAAGTTTTTTGCCTGCCGCCCGATCAGTCTCGCTTCGGTTTTCGTACGGGAAAGCTACGCAAGAGGACGACATAAAATTAAAATGGGAAATAACCATAATAATAATAAGAAGCGACAGGGTTGGCGTAAAAAACAGGCATAAATATGATAAACCTAATGGAATAAGTATCTAACGACCTATCTACTTACAGTATTAGTAATTACAAACATGTCGGTAGATATCATACGACGCGCGGGGAAGTGGGGGCGAAATTAGAATTTGAGCCCGTAAAGGTACCACAAAGCTAACCCCCCCCCGTCCCTGCCCCTGAGGCACCTCCATAAATTAATTGCACCTTTAATAATTAATTGCAGTGTAAGAAATTCGTCGTTAAATTATGTCTGAAACGCCCTGCCGGCAGGCTGATAGTCGCGTACAAAAGTCAATAAATAATCTTTTTATTATTTACTAGCTGTTCCCGCGACTTCGTACGCGTAGAATTTGTAACAATTAATTCCATAGGATTTAATTTTTGCATGGAACTCGAATTCTTTTTCTGTTAAAAAGCTGTTATTTTGACATTACAAACAGACACTTCAATTTTATTTATTTGTACAGATTATTTCATTTTTTTTTTGTTTAAAATATCTTAAATTCGTGAGATTATTCTTCAGCTCTGTTAATATATAACCTTGGAGAAAGAATTCCACCCCTATGGGTAACAAAATAGGGGATCAATTTTTTAATGTAACTATTTCGACTACGTTGAGATTATGATATTTCTTCGTCCACTCAAAAGAGTGAAAAATATAGCTTTTAACAAAAATTAAAAGTCGCCTTCAAAGAACAAAAAAGAATAAAATAACAGCCTATTCTGGGGTCAGGGCTTTAATTCATCCATCCATCTAGTGGAGTGGATACAATATATCTTAGCCACTACTTCAGAATGTCATCGTCATCACCATCATTACAGCCCTTCACAAGTCCACTGCTGAACATATGCCTCCCCAAGTAACGCTACAAAGCAAGGTTCAAGCCACCTGCATTCATTGACTACCTGCATGTCTTACCAGGTGTCACTCCACCTAGTGGAGGAAAGCCTTGCCTGCCGGTACGAGGCTGCCACTTGAGAACCTTTCTTCCACATCGGTTGTCGTTTCTTCAAGCTATATGGCTGGCCCATTGCCACTTCACTTTACTAATCCGTTGGACTATGTCAGTTACTCTGGTTCTACTGCGGATACCCTCGTTTTTAAGTCTATCACGCCGAGAAACCCCGAGCATAGCCCTCTCCATAGATCGCTGAGCAACTTTGAGCTTCCTTATACGGCCAGCAGTGAAGGTCTACGTCTCAGATCCATAGGTCATCACTGACAACACGCACTGGTTGTACAAGCTAGTTTTGAGGTATGCCTGACGAGAAGATATGTCGTAATCTCCAGAATGCTGCCCAGTTGAGTTGAATCCGTCACTAGATCTCTCGGTCGAAGTTGGACTTCGGACTTTTTGTCCCAGGTAAACATACTCATCAACAACTTCGAGCTTAGTGCTCCCAACAATTACCGCCATAGGTGTGACATAGACGTTACTCATGACTTTTGTTTTGTCTATGTTCATCTTAAGACCTATCTCTTGGGAGACATTATTGAGGTCATTGAGCATAGTGCTTAGGTCCTCCAGCGATTCTGCCATAAGGACTATATCGTCGGCAAATCGAAGGTGAGTGATGTTTTCACCATTGATGTTAATACTGTATCATTTCCAGTACAGTAGCTTGAAAATGTCTTCCAATGCAGCGGTGAAAAGTGTCGGGGATATTACGTCACCCTGTTTTTCACCTCTCTGCAGTTCGGTAGGTTTCGTACTCTGATTCTATACTCGGATAGCCATCGTAGCCATACTGTACAAACACTTCAGCACTTCGATATACCGACAGTCAACTTGGCACTGCTGAAGGGACTGCAGTGTCTCCCGAATTTCGACGTAATCAAAGGCTTTCTCATAGTCCACATATGGAAGGCAAAATTGCAGATTGTACTCTCGGGTCTTCTGTACAATTTGCTGAAGGGTATGTATGTGGTCTATGGTCCTAAAGCCTTTTCGAAAAACGGTTTGTTCGGAAGACTGATATTTGTCATGTGTGCGTGCGTAACTATTCGTAATGACTCAAATAGCACGTAGACGCGGCTCAGAAGGGAAATCGGTCTGTAGTTCTTCAAGAGAGCGTTGTCACCTTTCTTGAAGGACAAGACCAGCTTCTGCTCCACGCCTCCGGAGTATTGCCACCATGGAGAACGGAATTTAAGAGCTTCTGAAAGACTTTAAGTATTGATTTTCCACACGCTTTCAGAAGCTCTGCTGTAATTCCATCCTCGCCCAGGGACTTGCTGTTTTTAAGCTGTTGGAGAGCCATTCTAATCTCGCTCAGACTTTGCTCTTGGATCGTTATTCACACTTGCGTGTAGCTCCAACGATGACGTGTACAGCTGCCCATAGAACCTCTTAATCTTACTCAAAATCTCAGGCATCCAGGAAACGATGCTGCCATATTCGGTCTTCAGCATCGACATTAGGCTCTTTCTAGCTTTAGAGCCCTGGTTCCGCACGATTGCTACTTCAATACGAGCTGTATTGAAGTAGGTCTAGGCACTGAAAACGGTTTTGTAACTCAAGCTGAAAGTTTTCGGGATTTTTGATTAGAGCACAAGGGGGACGGAGCGTTGAATTCATTAGACGTGACCTTACAACTTAACGTTTAGGTTCAGTGTGCCTCTCACCATTCGGTGATTGCTGCCAGTTTTCACCCTCGCAATCACTGACACGTCACTGAACAGTTGTCGTCTGGTCGTCATAATGCAGTTAATCTCACTTCAGAATGTTTAATTATTTAATTCTGTATAGTTCTTTGAAGTTGGCTTTTACTTTTTATTAAAAGTATATTTTTCGGAAATTCCTTTGCAGTAAGTGAGCTTAGGCGTAAGTAAAGATGTTTGTAAATTGACATTAGCGTGTGCAGCAGCGGCTCGTCGCTGAGCGAGGGCTGGACGCGCCCCGCGCCGCCGCCCACCGTGCACACACACACACGCACGCCGCTCTCACAGCTGCTCGATAAGGTACGCACACACGCACGCCGCTCTCACAGCTACTCGAGAAGGTACGCACACACACACGCCGCTCTCACAGCTGCTCGATAAGGTACGCACACACGCACACAGCTCTCACAACTGCTCGATAAGGTACGCACACACGCACGCCGCTCTCACAGCTGCTCGATAAGGTACGCACACACACACGCACACCTCTCACAGCTGCTCGATAAGGTACGCACACACGCACGCCGCTCTCACAGCTGCTCGAGAAGGTACGCACACACGCACGCCGCTCTCACAGCTGCTCGATAAGGTACGCACACACGCACGCAGCTCTCACAACTGCTCGAGAAGGTACGCACACACGCACGCCGCTCTCACAGCTGCTCGATAAGGTACGCACACACGCACGCCGCTCTCACAGCTGTTCGATAAGGTACGCACACACGCACGCCGCTCTCACAGCTGCTCGATAAGGTACGCACACACGCACGCCGCTCTCACAGCTACTCGATAAGGTACGCACACACGCACACGCCGCTCTCACAGCTGCTCGAGAAGGTACGCACACAACACACGCCGCTCTCACAGCTGCTCGATAAGGTACGCACACACCGCACACAGGCTCACCAACTGCTCGATAAGGTACGCACACACGCACGCCGCTCTCACAGCTGCTCGATAAGGTACGCACACACGCACACAGCTCTCACAACTGCTCGATAAGGTGCGCACATACGCACGCCGCTCTCACAGCTGCTCGATAAGGTACGCACACACGCACGCTGCTCCCACAGCTGCTCGATAAGGTACGCACACACGCACGCCGCTCTCACAGCTGCTCGAGGAGGTACGCACACACACACGCCGCTCTCACAGCTGCTCGATGAGGTACGCACACACGCACGCCGCTCTCACAGCTGCTCGATAAGGTACGCACACACGCACGCCGCTCTCACAGCTGTTCGATAAGGTACGCACACACACACGCCGCTCTCACAGCTGCTCGATAAGGTACGCACACACGCACGCCGCTCTCACAGCTACTCGAGAAGGTACGCACACACACACGCCGCTCTCACAGCTGCTCGATAAGGTACGCACACACGCACACAGCTCTCACAACTGCTCGATAAGGTACGCACACACGCACGCCGCTCTCACAGCTGCTCGATAAGGTACGCACACACGCACACAGCTCTCACAACTGCTCGATAAGGTGCGCACACACGCACGCCGCTCTCACAGCTGCTCGATAAGGTACGCATACACGCACGCCGCTCTCACAGCTACTCGAGAAGGTACGCACACACACACGCCGCTCTCACAGCTGCTCGATAAGGTATGCACACACACACGCCGCTCTCACAGCTGCTCGATAAGGTACGCACACACGCATGGCGCTCTCACAGCTCCTCGATAAGGTACGCACACACGCACGCCGCTCTCACAGCTGCTCGAGGAGGTACGCACACACACACGCCGCTCTCACAGCTGCTCGAGGAGGTACGCACACACACACGCCGCTCTCACAGCTGCTCGATAAGGTATGACCACAGCCGCTTCAGCGTCGAGGAGGTACGCACACACACACGCCGCTCTCACAGCTGCTCGATAAGGTATGGACACACACACACGCCACTTTCACAGCTGCTCGATAAGGTACGAACACACACACGCACACCGCTCTCACAACTGCTCTATAAGGTGCGCACACACGCACGCCGCTCTCACAGCTGCTCGATACACACGCCACTTTCATATATATATATATATATATATTTCCCAACCCGACTGCCAAGCGTGACTTCTATGACGAAATCACTCCTGCACGATTAAGCCGATTATTATGTGTAAACTAAAATGCGACTTCACAGGATGGTAACTTTTTTATTTCTGTTGTATCTTTGAGATGTTTTATATACATAAATTACAAAAGGACAAACTGCCAGAGCCGGGAATATGATTTTATGTTATACACGACTTTCATAAACTTGTGGATTTGTGTATACGTAAGTTATCGGCAGAAGAATAATTAATGTACGGAAAGAATGACTAAGAAATTTTGACTATAGTTTTTAAGTGTATACACTATTCCAACTAAAAAAAAAGCCTATAATTATTGAATATTGAACGACTGAACTAATTTTCTCCAAATTTAGCTGAAAAATATGCTAATTAAGCAGTCAAATGAAAAAACAGCATTGGAAATCAAAGCCTTCAAACTAATAACATCCCATTTTTGCTTCAAGGACTTAATTTAATAAGAAATAAAGCTATTTAAGCACATAATCTGTGAAAGGTATAAATTCTTGTGTTCTTCAGGTCTCAAAATGGCAGATAATTCCCCGGGAAGGCACCGAGCACCTACCGAGTCGGGTATACGGTGCCATCCACCTCGCTAGACTCTTTGGTACTACAGTTTCATTAATAGCTGATATTCATTTTCTTAATTACGAATTGCTTATTGATATTATTTGTTTACAGTAAAACTACCAGACTTTTTGAATGCAACGCAGATGCCGGATTTCAAACTTAAGTTGATTTTAAAACACATCGATATGTTTATACAGTAAGTATCATAAAACGTTAAATTCAAAATAAAACTTATTTACAATCTTTGGAAACTCAGTAGATCAACGGCATACACGGCACAAGAATTTGTGTTACTTTCAAATAATTGTTATTGATCTGGGTGAGGTTTTAGAGGTTTGCAATTTATTTATTTTTAAAGCTGAAGTGACATACGGATGTATAGCCTACCTTATGGTGAGTGGCTACTGCAGTCTCTGGACACCTGCAGCTAACTTCACACAAAGAGGGTCTCAGATGCATTATAACCTCTCAGGACTAAGATGGAATACCTCGCAGCCTGTAATTATACAGGCTCTCTATACCCTTCAGACCGGAACACAGCAGTGCAAGCACTGCTATTTGACGGCAGAAATATGTAAGAGAGACGTAGCTACCCAGATGGACTTCTATGCAGAAAACGAGTCCAATCACTTAGTGTTTTAAAAACACTTAATTCTAAGAGCATTCCGATTATAAAAATATCAAAAAAAATATTGCTCAATGTTTTTGAGTTCCTAACAGAGAGAAAAAAGTGATTGTAATAATGGCAACACATCACTGTTAATAGGTCTAGGAAAAAGTTTCTTCGTATTTTATTTGTATAAAGTTGAAGAATCATCTCTTTGGTTGTACTGTTTGTATCTGGCTGGGTTTTATATCAATACATAAAAAATTGTGACGTTTATGGACCTAATGTGCTAGTAAGAGTAGTACAAAGTTGGTTCAAGCGTTTTCACTCTGGGAATTTTGATGTCAAGATGCAGCTCGCTCTGGTCGCCCTCATACAGATAAGTCGATGCGATTTAAAGCAAAGCAAGATTGGCATATTAGTAGTTTATGCATATATATATATATATATATATATATATATATATATATATATATATATATATATATATATATGACATAGCCGAGGAATTGAGATTGACTACATAAACAATTTTGACCCATTTGAAAAAGTCTGGCTATACAAAAAAAGCGCGATATTTAAGCACTAATCATCATCTCATTGAAAGAAACCTAATGAATCGTGTATTCATTTGCGATTCTCTATTGAAACGTGATGAAAAGTGGATCACCTACATGCGAAAAAGATGATCTAAAGGTAGTCAAGCTCCACAAACTTGCGAAAACCGGATTAACACGCAATAAGGTGATGCGGTGGGTATGGTGGGATTGGAAGGACATCGTTTATTATGAGTTTTTCCGCCGGACAAAACCATCGATTCGGATCTCTACTACCAACAACTAATGAGACTTAGCAAGAAATTGAGGAAAAAAAAGCTGGAATTGATCAACAGAAAAGGAGTGGTCTTTCGTCATGGTAACACCAGCCCACACGCATCTTTGTCCACTCAGCAAAAATTGAAAGAGCTTGGTTGTGTAATGTTAATGCATCCACCATATAATCCTCAAGTCAAGTCTCTTCAGAATTCTTTGGGTAGCGTTAGGTTAACATCAAGAGAGGACTGTCAGAACTACTCGTCGCATTTTTTGATCAAAAATCCCAAGATTTCTACAGCAAGGGGATTATATCACTACCTACAAGGTGGCAACAACTTATCGAACAAAATGGAGCACATTTGAATGTAATTAAACTTTGGAAAAAAAATGCCTTGAATTTGTATATAAAATACGAAAAAACGTTTTTCCCAGACGAATTATTTTGAAATTTGGATATGGAGGTATAACGTAATAAATACACAACTTTCACTTTTAATCTATATCATCATCATTTTACTGTCATTAACAAGTCCACTTCTGAACATAGGCATAATCTATATTTATACATATAAATAAAATGAAGTGCCTGTCTGTATATCCAAATTACTATAATATTTTTTTGCTATTCCAAGGTAGAAAGAGAAATATTATTAAAAAAATTTTGAGCTAGGGGATTATTCGCATACCATTAAGACATGAACAACCATTTATAAAAAAAGATCTGTCTGTTCGGGCTAATTTTAGGAATGACAGGACGGATTATAATGGAACTGCACGAACAGATAGAGGGGTAATTTAGGTCATATTTTCACCGAAAAACATTGGATATTTTTTTGTGAAATTTTACTTTTACAGGTATTTGGATGAACACAGTGAATGGTTCGGCGAGATGTACTATATAGCAGACGGAGTTTCCCGTTCACACTGACATTATCTGTGGGCGCGGTTCAGTGGATAGCGATAGCTCTCGGGCCGACATTGCGAAAGTAACGCGAAGCTTTAAACCACGTTTCACCGGTACATTCCATCAACAAACCGCGTAATTCTGGCATAGTTACTGTAATGCAGCTGAAATACAGGAGTCTGAAGCGACATGTCTTTTATTTTATTTCAATTTACAATGTAACGTACAGGGATCATCTTCATACTTATACTGGTCATATTGTGTCACGTTTATAGGATAAGGGTGACAAACGAGCATACAGTCCACCTGATGGTAAGTAGTTGTTGTGGCCCAGATACATCTACATCTATCCCCGATTACGAACCAAAATAAGGACTAAGATGAAATGCCTCCTTTCCAGTAAAAAGGGCAATAAAAACCAAAACAGCATCGTCAAGCTGCTATTTTACGCTGGTATTCTGTGAGAGCGTGCTCCTTCCCCGATCGCGCTGACCCATTCGTGCTACAACTACACTACTAATACAGCTACAGCGTGGCTATACCAGTAAAAAACTTGCGCATTGAAAATGCTATTATCCACTAATCTATGAAATTCCAATATACGTACATAGTTATAAAACATAATATATCTTGTTGCGCGGCACAGTTGATGGCACTAGCGCCATCTGGTATCAAGTATCAGAAATAGGAGTGTCAAGATCTTTCTGGAATTCTCCCAACAGCGCCGTCTAGTAACGAATAGAAGAATTAAGCTTTCTAGAAAAGTCCACACTCGAACTTTCTGCACTTAGTCGGTCGGGACCGGTATTTGCTGGAACATTCTGGATGTTTCGGTGGAATAGGCGTATTTAAAGCCGCTGAGGGCCGCGACCGGGGTAGTATTGAATTGGCGATACAAGCGAAGTTTTCGGAGTGAAATAAAGTGAACTAGTGTTAAGTGTGAATAATTATTAGTGTGATTTAAGTTTTAATTGGTGTTCAGTAATTAAAGTGGCAATTTTGGTATTTCAATCGGCAGTGTTTATTGTCACGAACCTTAAGCTCGTAACAATATGTAGTTTTAAGCCAAACGCTCAAAACTATCCTAATAACTTCGAGGTTGTATATTACTTTATAACCTCGGAAATTGCTAAAATAAACTGATAAAATATCCGAACGAGAGATACATTCTGCAACCATCATGTAGCCGTCGTTTATTTTTACAAGTAATAATAAAACTCACGACGCGTACGGTCCACCTGATGATGACTAGATGCTGAGAGCTATATCTATTCGCGATTAGATTCAAAATGTAAATACCTTTAGATCTCCGATCCATCGTAGATTGCACTTATCCTTCTGCAATTTATGTATAGTATCGTTTTTTTAAGTAAATAAATAAATCATCCTGTAACATTATCATCATCAACAGCCTTTTTAACTCAACTGCCCGACATGGGCCTTTCCAAAAATGTGCCACAAGCATTATTTGGGAAGATTTGCCTAAATTCAGGTTAATGATTGCAGAGGCACGACCCTCGCACTTGTAATACTGCTTTTATTACAAGACGCTGGGATGTGGTTTGGCATTTTTGTGATAAATTTCCTGCCATCTGTTGTTCCAAAGGCTTCTGTCAAACAATTCTTTACCAATCTCTTATCTTACTCTTGAGCATTTAATATAACAGCATGTTGTATTATTATTAATTGGGGTATCTATACATATAGTTTTCTCATCAGGTTGGGTTCTATAAATATATAATTATAAATTAAAATGAAAAGATAAATATACATAAATATCAATAAAATAAAATAAATACAAAAATACATAAATAAATAAACATCCACCCAGATGGAAGCCCTCGGCAGGGGAGACCAGACGGCCGAGGGTGAGGAGGAAAGGGAAAGAAACCGGCGGACGATGCGGGCGGTATCGAGGAGCACCGCCTTCTGCATTTGAGCCTGGAGCGGTCCGTCACGGAGTCCCAGTCGCCTCAGATAACCCGAGAGGCTGTCTGGGATTAGCCCATTCGCAGAGACGACTACAGGAATAATTTCGGCCGGCAGACCACCCCACATGTCAGTCACCTCGTGAGCCAGGTCCAGATATTTTGTTCGTTTATCTGTTTCGGCTTTCACGAGGTTCTCGTCATACGGAATGGTAATGTCGACCAAAAATATCCTTGACTGTGTCCGATCCATAAGCACAATATCAGGCTTATTCGCAAGAATAGTCCTGTCTGTGATGATGGCCCGGTCCCAGTAGAGCCTGGCGCGGTCATTTTCGAGCACGGCTTCCGGTAAGTATTTGTAATACGGCAATTTCCAGTCCACGAGACCGTATTTCAGAGCGAGCTCCTGGTGCAGAATTCTGGCTACAAAATTGTACCTGTGCAAGTACTCAGAGTTAGAAAGCGCGCAACAACCGGGGATAACATGCCCAAGTGACTCCCCGGGATGGCCACAAGCTCGACAGACGTCGACATAAACATAAAACGAAACGACATAAAGATATGATAAGGATATAGAACGACGAGTGAACGCAGGAAACAGAGTAAATGGAACCCTGCACTCTATTGTGAAGAGTCAAAATGTGTCAAAAAAGGCACGTATGGCAATTCACAATGCCGTGTTGGTCCCTACTTTAACGTATGGTAGTGAAAGTTGGGTATGGCAGAAGAAGCACGAGAGTAGAATAAATGCAGTAGAAATGCGGTCGTTAAGGAGTATGTTAGGGCTGAATCTGAATGACAGGGTGAAAAATTGTGTGATAAGAGAAGAGTGTGGTTTGCAAGATGATGTTGTGACCAGGATTAAGAAAGGAATGCTTCGGTGGTTTGGTCATGTGGAAAGAATGGATGAGGAAAGAGTGACAAAGAAAATTTATGTTGCAGAAGTGAATGGCAGAGTCGGAAAGGGACGTCCTAGGCGAAAATTTATCGACCAAATTGGCGATTTATTGAAAACGGGCCAAATTAGGAGTACCCTTAACCGACGAGCATGCATGCGTAGGTGTATGGATGTGAAGGAGGCGAGAGAGGTGTGTCAGGATCGTGCCAAATGGAAGTCTGTAGTCTCTGCCTACCCCTCTGGGTGACAGGCGTGAGTGTTTATGTCGACAATGCCATCCTTTAGGATCTATCTCCGATAGTTGGTCTTAATAATCTTATCCAGTATTGCACAGACAAAACACTCGATTTCCCCGAAGAGGTCACCGAAACGTAGCCTGTTGAGGGAATCGACTGTATATACGTATGGCTCATGTAGAGCCCTGTAGTACCTTCCGTGGAGCTCCTTCTCCTTCCATACGGCCTTCCGGTCGGAAATGCTAAGCACTGCTGGGTCCTGCCATTGCTCGTTGGCTAAGGATAGAGGGGTAAGCCTTTTATGACTAGAAATGACGTCATTATAGAATGGATCATCCGATCTCGCCAGGAAGTAATGACGGAGGCTGCACACTTCGCGATTATGCATGGTGAGCGCGCTCAGAAAGCCACGCTCACCATGATTTCGCGGCAAGTACAGCCTCATTACCGACGATCTCGGATGATGCATCCTATGGGACGTCATGGTAGTGCGGACTTTTCTATCCAGGGTGTTAAGTTCAGTCTGAGTCCACCTGAGTATGCCAAAGGTATACCTGAGGACAGGCATGACCCAACCGTTATATGCGTGTGTCCTATTCTCACCGGACAAAAGGGTGTTAAGCACTTTGGTCAAGCGTGCATAAAACACGTCGCAAATTGACTGTTTCATACCAGCCTCATCGATACCGATGTTCTGTGACATACCCAGGTATCGGTATGTTTCAGCCTCGTAATGGGTCCTTAAGTTGACGGACATAGATAATTCTATGTCCTCAGAGTTAGCAACCCTTCCCCTTTCAACATGGAGGACCGCACACTTATTCGTCCCCAGCTCCATTCCAATAGAATTGCTAAATTATTTTTTGCCATAAGATGGGAGCGACTGGAGGCGAATAACTTTAGGTCATCCATATAGAAAAGGTGGGTCACTTTTGTCCCTCCTTTCCGTAGCTGAAATCCCCTCCCAGATCCCTCCAGTAAGATACTGAGAGGGTTCAGAGAGAGGCTTTATTATTATTATTATCATTACTGAGTAATTAAAAATGAGCATAGAGAACTATACTCGGAGTTTCTTTACATTCAAATCCGTAATGAAGATATTTGCAGTAGAACTAGAAGAACTGACATTCCCAACGGATCAGTAAGCTAAAGTGGCGATAGGCCGACTATATAGTTAGAAGAACCTACAACCGATGAGAAAAAAGATTCTCGAGCGGCAGATATGTATCGGTAAGAGAACGAAGTATAGGACTGTCCCTCACTAGACGGAGCGTTGACCTGGTAAGACAAAAACAAAGTCGATGGATGCAGGCGGCTCAGGATCAAGTTGTGGAGCATTCCTTAGTGAGTTCAGCAAAGGATTTATGAAAGGATGTCAATAATGAAGATATCAGAGTCAGTCACATGTAACATTGTGTGCAGGACATGCGTGGAGTGTGTGAAAGCGGCGACTCGTGTGCAATCTATATATTATTACGCGGTGGCCAGCTTCAGAGCTAAATACCATGGCATCATTCCAGGGTCGAATCCCGATTCTTAGTGATATTACAAAGTGGCTAAATTTTTTAGAGATGTGCGTGAATAACTTTTACGTTCTCAGACTCAGTTGCGGAAACTAGTCCGTGACAACTAAAAAGCAATATCGAATCCTATTACAACAAAGTGAACAAAACAAAAACAAATCTTAGTTTCACTTTTTAATTTTAATAACAGAAACATGAAGTGAAATAATTTTAATATGAAAATTACATTAATCATTTGAAGCAAAGATGACATTTACATCGCACAAGATAACTTTACGTAAAGAAAGGGTATTTCGAGACACGTGAGCAAACAACATATTATAACCTGTGAAATGTAAATGTTATACAAAATACAATTTTAGTTTGAACTTTTTGATCCAGCAAAAATTATTGTTACAGTAAATTAATAAAAATATAGTTATTATTTATGCATTTA